TAAAAAAAAAAAAAAAAAAAAAAAAAAAAAAAAAAAAAAAAAAGCAGAACTGCCTCCAAAAAAAACCCAAAAATCCATACACGTTGACAAGCACACAAGAGGAAAGGTAATTTTTTAAAAATTTTTGTTTATTTTTAACATTCTTTTCTTTAAATAATTTTGAGTTCCAAATTGTCTCCTTCCATTCTACACTTCCCCCTTCCATTGAGAAGTCAAGCAATATGATATCAATAATACATGTGAGAAGTCATACAAAATATATTTCCATATTAGCCATGTTGCAAAAAAAAACCAAAATAATAAAAAGCAAGAAACATAAAGAAAGTGGAAAAAAATATACTTCAGTATACATATCTTAAAGACAGCTCCCCCAGTTTGTTCTTTATACTGTATGGGGTGCCCCCTCCCTTCCAGGGCTGCCCATGGTCATCTTTGTTATCCCCTCCTCAGTTACCCCCTCCAACCAAGAGTCAGGTTAAGGAAGAAAGAATGGGATTGACCACAAGGGTTTGAGTGAGTGTGTGTGTGTGTGTGTGTGTTAAAAATCTGCCTTAGGCATTTAGGAAAAGTAAATTATTAAAAAGGAAATGCAAGGAATCCCAATGAAGATTAAGAAGAAGCAACTGAAAAATAGTTAGATTATATTGTAAGTAATGAATTTAAACATAGTTACTAAGCCCTGGTACATAGTACTTAATAACTGTCTGTGGATTCATGTGGTACTAAACTTTTTCTGTCTACAGAGATCATGGTGCCCCCAGCTCATTCTCCCTCCTTTCTCAAGGAGTTCAGCATATAGTTCATTGTCTTTTTCTCCTTCCCAACTCATTCATTCCTGTTGATTTTCCCTCAAACACCATAACATAGCAGTTCTTCAGTTTTCTCAAATCCCATTATCTTTTCCTTCAATCCACCATAAGCACACACAGAGATGGTCACACCCTGGATCTCACTACTTCCTATAAGTGTTCCACTTCCTTCATCAAAAACTCGAGTATTCCTCTATCTGACCACAACTGACTATCATTCTCTCTCTCCCTATGCCTTATCTCTCCTACACCTGTCCTTCCTCTCCATAATGGCTTCTTGTCCTTCTTCTGTTCTGGATTTTCTCAGGTCATTACCCTAGCTCTGACTTTACTTCTCTTCCTTCCCAATATCAACCCTGTAGTTAGTCAATTCAACTCTACACTGTCATCACCTCTTGAATGCCTCAGCTCTCTTGTCCTATTGCTGCCCATCCCTTGCCAAACCCCACCTTTGGATCACTCCTATAATCTGGCTCTTCCTCAACTCCTACACAGATGAAAAATGCCAAAAGAAGTCACACAGAAGTGCTAAGTCCACTGCTCCAAGGCAAACTTTGTATTTCTCTTTAATTGACTCTCCATCTACCTTCCCACAGAAGAATTTTCTTCTTTCCTCAAGCAACCCAGACTTTACCTTCTCTCCCCCCCCACTTTTTCTCCAGAGGGTTTTGCCTCATACTTTACTGGTAAAAGCGAGGCCATTTGCCATAAACTATATCTTCTCCCCTTCCCCTTCCCCTTCCCTTCATGTCAAAATTCCTTGACATCATTGCCCATGCTCCCCTCCTTTTATCCTGGTCTGTGATAATGAGGTGTTGCATCTTGCCAAGGCCGGTCTCATATATGACTTTGATCCCATTCCTTCCTGTCTTTTCTAACAGATTGTCTTCTGAATCATTTCTCCTCTCTCTCTAATCTTCAATCTCTTCCTATCTACTGATTCATCTCCTACTCCCTTCAAATCTACCCAAGACTCCTCTATTCTTTTTTTTTTCTTTTTCTTTTTTTGGGGGGAGGGGGGGTGAGCCAATTGGGGTTAAGTGACTTGCCCAAGGTCACACAGCTAATGTCAAGTATCTGAGGCTGGATTTGAACTCAGGTCCTCTTCTCTCCAGGGCCAGTGCTCTATCCACTTTGTCACCTAGCTGCCCCTGACTCCCCCATTCTTAAAAAAGTTTTCACTAGGCCCAACCATCTCTTCATACTTTTGTCCTACATCTTTCTTCTTTTTCTAAGTCAAATGCCTATTTTTTAAAAAGCAGCTACCTGCTTCCTTTCCTTTTTACTCACTCTTCAAATG